TTCTGTTGAATTTTCGAAATCCACGCCTGTGATGTCATCTAGCTGCAGATTATGTAATAATCATGTCAAGGACACCCAAGGTCACGGGTAATCATGTCGTGTTTGTCATCGGTCCATGTTTTTCTAAGGGTGATCATGCCAAGTTCGCGCGCTTTGTGTTGCTTGCCATCAGTGAGGAAGCAAGAACTTGACTTCCTTTTTTCTTTTCGTTCAATGTATAATAAAACAATTATTAGATTCAGTTTTTGTTATATCTAGAATAACCAGGGTCTTGGTAAGGGTAATCAGCCTCAACCTTCAGCTTCGGCTGATAACCTCCTACCTCGACCTTGATCATTCTGGATATCACAAAAACCTCATCCAGTAATTGTTTATAATACTGTGTTCACTAAATTGATCAAGCATTTTTACACTGCTTTGTCTCGTAACGAACATGAATGCTAGACATCTATAAGATAAAATAAAAGAAAGTAGACCACCATTTGTTTTACTAAATTAAATACAGCTGAACAGTAGGATACGAAACATGTATTTTTACCATATGCTGTAGTTCTCTGAACTTTAAAAGCACTCTTTGATCCGTCACCAGCAGAAGAGAAAGCCAACACTTGAAATTCATATTCTGTGTTCTCGTCAAGTCCAGTGGCACAATGGAAGCGAATTTCTGACCCGTTCATTGTGACTTCGGTTGGCAGTCCAACAATGTCTTTCTTTTTGTAAAACAGTTTAAATCCTTTGATTATTCCACGTCTGGAGTCGGCTGGAGATAATTGCCACAATGCTTTAATAGTGGTAGAGTTGGTTGCAATCACAGTTAACGCGGTGGGTGCTTGTGAAGGAACTGAAATGATTTAGTTAAATAATTAATGTGTTAAGAACCTAAAGCACATTTCTTTTGTCATTTCTTAATTGGGTATACCAGCAAATGCTCCACGAATATATGTTTTCGCAGTTCTAATGGGCCTGTTGTAAAACCGGGTACAAAATTTAAACCCCTCAATGCAAGACTTGCACTTGGACGTCCACTACAGAGAGAAGTCAAGCTTGACTTGCTCAGTTCTAGATCTCTTTGGAAGATTTTCTAACACATGACCGGGACTTTGTTGAAAATATAAATATATCGTAGTCTTGGGCATGAATAAATATAGGATAAAGCTGGATTTTAATTTAGATCTTCTGTTAAATTGGCTGTAGCGCATACTACGGAGAAACTCTTCTTCAACTGTTTCCAGATCGAGTTACGAGACTTTTTTTAAGGACGGTAAAAGCAAAAGAAAACAAACAAACAAAACAAAATGCATTTTTACGTGTGTTTTATACAACACCAGCACAGCACAGGAAAGCACAATCAACCCAAGAAAGGAAAGCAATGGAACAAGCGAAAACAAAGAACAACACAAATAAAGAAAAATAATGCAAAGCAATAAAAAACATATTTTGATAGAAAAAAAAAAGAACAAAATCGCAAACAAATTAAATACAAATAAAAACAAAACAAAACAAAACAAAACCAAATGAAATGAAAAAAAATAGGACCAAAACAAAAGTATACGAGCTACTGCAGATAACGCCTGGTTTTAAACAGTTTGATATCAGCCCCTGTTTGCAGTTTATCTTAGAACAATAGTGAGAGCTTCTGGTAAAATACCTGCAGGTTTAAGTACTCCAAAAACCTCCACTCTTAGAGCCTTGCGAGTCGAGAAAAGCGTTGGCTGGAACCTGATAAATCTCGCGCTCTTGATTTCCTTAAGGTTGTGTTTCACTATGTCGTTTCTCCCAGAATTACCATTGAAGACCTAGAAACCAAAGCAGTGACAGCATCATCACTTCCTAATGCTGAATTACCTACATCGTAACCAGTTAGTCTTTAATGTCATGGATTCTTTATTGTTCTCGTTCAATAGGAAGACGTTCTTAATATAAAATACTGTTAGAAAAGTCTTGGGCTCTACATGTACACCATGCTGGAAAACAATTCTGACAAACGTTTCTGCTCTTGTTTCTATAGCCTGGGTTTGTAACCCAGTTCTCATGTAACTTGTACTTTGGGATGCCTAAGGTCCCTAGATGTTTCGAAATAATCAGAACACATCAAGTTCTGACACTTCAATCAAACAAACCTCATCCATGTTGTTTTCTTGGTAGGTAACCCAATTCTGATTGTCCAGTGATCAGCGGTTGACTTTCCTTGAGTAGCTACAGCA